TAGATAATAATGATGTTCTTTGAGAATATGTACTCAAAACAGAGAGGAAAATAATTTAGGGTTGTTAGGCAATTGTTTTGAACCAAATAAGGAACTACAAGTTCAAGAAGAATCAATGTTAATATTAAATATAACAGGAAGTCAAATAATACCTTAAAAAATACCTGGATCATTTCAGTGGGTGCCTCCTTGTTCTTGAATTATTCAAAGTAATGACTTATTTTGTCTCTATTTGTCTCCAAACCACTGGTGGTTCTCCTGACCCCATCATAACCTCCCTCGCTGATCCTTTTTCCAGTTTGAGGCCTAAAGCCTTCTGTCTGTGCACCTCTGCTGAGCTGGTAGGAAGAGTGCATGGGGTGTTCACACATGGTGGATGTGCCCCAGGTTTGTCCAGGCCTCTATACACGAGTACATTCAGGCACCTTTTTCTGCTTGCTCCCCCATTTCTAATCATTGTCAATGCTCTGCTTGCTTCTTTGATCTGCTCTGAGTGTTAAGCTGAAATTCCTGAATAAACACCACCACTAAACATATACAACTGGCATTCATGGATATGGACATGTAATTATATAGTTTATCTTGCCCCATGCATTACTTTTCATTCATCAGAAACTAATTTCCACCACTTTATGGCTTGGTCCCTTGTGTCCTGCAATCCTTATGCAATTCATATCAGTGAGCTTTAGAATGCCTGTTTTGAATAAAGCAGTATCATCTCTCACTCCCGTGTGTGGACGAGGAATGAGTATGTTGTATAACATGGTGCCCAAAGCAGACTGCTCTAAAAACCTATTAATTACTACAGGCATCAACAGCATATTCCCTTTATCTCTTCTAATTTAAACAGTTAAAAACCAACAAAAAGCCTCTGCCTTCCTTGTCCTGGGATGCTTGGTTTGTCCAGGAGTCTTCAGAGACAAGCCTTATTTAAAACATTTTTGCAAACAAACATAGGAAGGTGCAGCATTCYTCCTGACCTCCTCGTGCACTTGTGCAAGGCATCATCTCCACCCAGGAAAGCATATATCCATCCATACACACACACATATGTATTACAGAATCATGGAATGGTTTGGGCTGGAAGGGACCAGCCCCATTCAACCCAGTCTTGAACACTTCCAGGGTTGGGGCATYCACAACTTCTCTGGGCAACCTGTGCCAGTGCCTCACGGCCCTCACAGTAAAGAATTTATTCCTAATATCTGATCTAGATCTACACTCTTTAAGTTCAAAGCCATTCGCCCTTGCCATGTCACTACACGCCCCTGTAAAATGTTCCTCTCCTGCTCTCTTGTAGCCCCTGCACTGAAGTTTCCCTGGAGCCTATTCTCCGGGCTGAAGAGCCCCGGCTGTCTCAGCCTGGCTTCACGGGAGAGGTGCTCCATTCCTCTGCCCATGTTTGTGCCCTTCTCTGGACCATACCTACACACACCCATCGACACACGCTGTGTGGGTACACTCGCACCGCACCGAGCTCTCCGCGCAGGCCGCCGCCGCCGCCGGGCTCTTTAACGGGGCCGTCCCCTCCCGCAGCCGGGGCCTTTCCCGGCCCGCCCCGGCCGCCCTTTGCTCGGGGCGGGGGGAGGCGCTGACAGCCGGCGGGGATGGAGGCGCTGTGGGCGGCGGGGGGGCTCCTGCTGGCCCTCTCCCTCCTGGCCTTCGTGCTGTACTGCTGCTACGTGAAGTACATCCACCTCAAGTACGACCACATCCCCAGCGCCCCGCGGGAGAGGTAAGAGGCGGGCCGGGCCGGCGAGGCGGCGGCGCTCTGGGCCCGTGTCTCCGCAGAGCGCTCGCTGTCAGGCTGGAGCCGTGAGACAACGTCAGAGCAGGAAATAAATAAACCCTCCAGCTGGTGTGCGTGGGCCGGTCCGGGCCGGGCGGCTGCGGGCAGCGGCGAGCGGTCAGACAGGCTGGGSACAGCGCTCGTGTGTGTGCCCGCTGCCCGGGAAGCGCTGGCACCGCCGGGCATCGCTGAGGATGCAGCCAGCACGGCCTGGCCGGGACTGCATGTCCTGACCTACATCTCCCGGGTGGCCACAGCGGCATGAAGGAGCGCTTTGGAGTGGCCCACCCGAGCTGTGCGTTTGCTCATGACCCTAAAGAAGGAGTTGACACCAGCACCAGCCATGCAGGAGGGACCAGCACGTCCAGCCGGCCTCACTGCTCCAGGAGGCAGCTGACACTAACTTCACCAGGCACCTTCCGTGCTCTCCTTCATAAGCCAGGTGTTTGGTTTCTGCCAAAAATAAATAAAAATGTCATAAGTGATAAAGGGCAATGAGAAAGCTGCCAGCAAGGCAGTGGCAGCGCTGTCACAAGGAGTCACGGTTCTTGCAGGAGTGCGTGGGCTTCCCATTTAACCTCACCTGTGGGTGCACATGCCCTCCGTAAGATGCCACACAGAGACACCAGCACTCATCTACAGCCTTACAGACACCACGCTCTCCTGCCCACCCCCAGGCTTCAGCCTACTTGTGTAATCAGGGGCAGATATCAAGATTAGAGAGATGATGGTCTTGTCATAYCTGAAACTGCTTGTAGTTCGGTTCCTTTTGAGGTGTAAAGTAACACGGGAGAGGGGTGGCAGCTTGAGGAACTCTGTGGCTGCTTTTCTGTCCCTTCTTCAGGGCTTGAGGCTTGATATTAGTTATAAGCACAGGATCTGTCCCAGGAAGTTTTCTAGTACRGGTTTGTCTAGGTGGAAGCCTGTATGTCATATGAGCCCTCAATACCTAGTGGCTTTTCAAAAGCATTAATTGGCAGGRACAGTCCAAAGCTTCTACTGCAGTACTTGTTGCACAAACACTTGCACTCCTAAATGTCAAACCTAAGAAAAATCAAATACCTCCACCTATGAAAAGT